ATCAAAAGAGAATAGAGAAGACTAGTAGAGAGTGTGTAGTGAATAGAATGTAGTGTGTTTGTGGAAAGAACTGATTGAAGACTTATCAAAAGAGAGTAGAGAAGACTAGTAGAGAGTGTGTAGTGAATAGAATGTAGTGTGTTTGTGGAAAAATGAGGTGAAAGTGATTGAGTATTTATAGAAAAATGAGATGAGTGTGATGATAGTTGGTTGGTAGTTGAATAATTTAATTGTGGTTGATAAGTAGTAGAGTGATTTAATTAGAGTTGGTAGGTAGTAGAGTAATTTAATGAAAGTTGGATAAATATAAATTTGTAATTTATTGAGAATATGGTAAATCAGACAGTTTTGTACATAATGAAAGTATAGGAGTCGGTTCTGCCTCCAGTCTGTCATCGTCACCCGACTCGTCACTGGATCCACTAAACAAATTAATTTGTCTGGCATCGTCGGAGTCAGTATCATCACCCACTTCCTCTTCCGGAAATGTTGTACAAAACCGTGTAATTTACAATATTCTCAATAAATTACAAATTTATATTTATCCAACTTTCATTAAATTACTCTACTACCTACCAACTCTAATTAAATTACTCTACTACCTATCAACTCCAATTAATTAAATTATTCAACTACCAACCAACTATCATCACACTCACCTCATTTTTTCTATAAATACTCAATCACGTTCACCTCATTTTTCCACAAGCACACTACATTCTATTCACTACACACTCTCTACTAGTCTTCTCTACTCTCTTTTGATAAGTCTTCAATCAGTTCTTTCCACAAACACACTACATTATATTCACTACACACTCTCTACTAGTCTTCTCTATTCTCTTTTGATAAGTCTTCAATCAGTTCTTCATTTTCACAATTATGGCCAATATGTTTTGGTATGGTACACAACATAGGGGAACAGTAGAAAATATCAATGTGGTACGTATTTTTGATTTATTCAACATTATTCATATTATTTATTTTTGAATTTACAATATTAGTTTTATTCATAATTTGCATAGAAATGTTGAATATTTTTCTATATTACTTATTTCTATTACAGATTGATGATACTTATATTTCAAAATGGAGAATCCGTGCTCACAAACCTCTAAAGCCACATGCAGTCATAATGCCTTACCTTCACCAATCTGGTTTCTACCATGTATCTACAATAGGGTCCACACACATCGATTCAAGGTTTAATTATAGCCTTATTAGAACGGTTGAGACCCGAAACTCATACATTTCATCTTCCAAACGGTGAATGCACAATTACATTAGAAGATGTGAGTATGTTATTGAGGCTTCTTGTAGATGAAAAAGCGGTAAATGATTCATCCGAGCTAGGTGGTGGTGCATGGAGTTTTATTTTAGGAATGAACCACCACAAAGTGATAAGGGAATGACTGCGAGGTTGACATGGCTTAAAGACATGAACCACCAACCGATGAGTCATCTTAGGAGTACAAAATTAAAAATGATCGTATTTATAACTTACTCCTTATCGGGCAAGTTTTGTTTCCTAACAAAAGCGGTAATACTATACACTCAAAATAGACACAATTTGCAAAATTGAGTTGGAGTTTCGCCATTTTAGCCAATCTATATAGGAAAATGTGCAAGTCTGTGAACATAAAAGTAATAAAAGTAACAGAGATGTCAGGATGCGTTTTACTTCTTCAAGCTTGGGCTTTTACACACATGTCTATAATATCTCCGATGGCTCCGTTTCAAGCTCAATATCCTTACGCAAGAAGGTAATATTTTAATTTAAAATTGTTAGAATACTTTAAAATAAAATTTAATTTTAAATTTTTTTTAGATGGTGCATCAAGAAACTTAAATACCAAAACAACATGCGTCAGCTTGAACTTTTACACGCATGCCTATAATATATTCGGTGGCTCCGCTTCAAGCTCCATATCCTTACGCAAGAAGGTAATATTTTAATTATAATTAAAATTGTTAGGATACTTTAAAATAAAATTTAATTTTAAATTCTTTTTAGGTGGTGCATCAAGAAACTTGACTACCAAAACAACCCCTGCCAACATCTACAAGGATACCGATTCAGGATTGATCACATGCTTCAAGATCAGATTTTTTGTCTTCACTTTAATACTTCTTATAAATTTTTGAATTTTATTTTGGTTAAACTAAAAAGTTGTCTATAACTTTTTAGTTTATTTGGAGGCCGTATCTTGCATTAGCGCCCCAAAGACACGAAGATAGTTTGATATGGAGTTCAACTACATAATGTTTTCATATGGTAGAAATGAATCAAACAGATAATGTCAAACTATAATTTAGTCATTTACAAGGGATACCTGAAGAAGCTCGATGCCTGGCTGAAAAAAGCGCGTCAAAAAGCATATACCACATTATACTCTGATGAACAAAATTGTTGGTTGCATTGAGAATTGTTTACGTTGGATGGAGATCAATTACAAACAGAGGAGAAACCATCAAATGAATACACTTGCTTCCACATAGATATGCATCGTACGAACAATTTTTCACTGACTCTCGTCAAAATCAATATGCCCCTACTCAGGCAAGTGACTCTCAACAACCTCATCACTCACAACATTCTCAACCTCCTCATCCCCAATCCTTCCAACAACAAACTCCTCACTTTTCCCAAGATCAAACACCCATCCCCATTATCCTGAACAACAAACTTCTAACCCTCATTTTTCTCAACTACAAACTCCTGCCCTTTATTTTTACCAAAATCAAACCAAATTTCGATTACTCTTCCTCCCAATATAACCCTACAACGTCTTATTTTCCAACCATGTGTACGCCACAACAACCGCAATATAATTTTGGCGAGGATCTTAACGTTAGTGATTATGATTTACTGGAAAGCATTTGATCTCCTCCACAAGCTACAAAACCTAGTAAAGAAAATCCTCCAACATCAGATGCAACACAACAAAATCCTCCAACAACAGAGACCGAACAACAATATGGTTTTGGTCATCGTACTCCGCAACCGCGTTATTGTTTTACCGGTACTTATTTCAGACCGGGTCATCAAAAATTTTAACCGTATTTTTTTATATAGCATTTTGATTGTAATTATGATATTTTATTATTTAATAAATTTTTTTTATTATTTTATTATAATTGTTAAATATTTATTTGAAATTTTTAAATTAATATTTTATTAATTAATTTTATAACTAAATAATTTATTAAAGTATTTGTAATTAATAAAAAAATTAAATAATTAAAATAAATAACAAAAATGTAAGAAAACGAAAAGAAAAAAATAAAAAGGTCTTTCACGCCATTTGATTTAGCGTGAGCCCATGCTACTCACATTTGCACCATTTCAAATGGCATGAATCCCCTTAAGTGTGGCATCCTGGGAAATTATTTTCAGACTGTGGCATTTTCAGAACTTTTTTTTTTGTGGGAGTGGCATATGGGAAAAAAATTCTGAAACGGATGCTTCTGCCATCGCGATTGGTGCAGTGCTTTCGCAGAAAGGACATCCCTTAGCCTTCTTCTGTAAAAAGTGGTACAATCGCACAAAGCTACGTCTGTGAACGTCAGCGAAATGTGTTATAACTGAAGCTGTAAAAAAATGGAGACAATATTTAGTTGGCAGACAATTTCATATCTATACAGATTAGAAGAGTCTAAAGAATCTGTTTGTTCAAACCATCCAGACCCCAGAACAGCAGAAATGGGAAGCGAAATTACAGGTTTTCAACTTTGATATTTTTTACAAACCTGGGAAGTTAAATCAGGTTGCGGACACACTTAGCCGAATTCGACAGAAGATGCACTTAGACGAATTCAACAGAAGATGAATCAATGCTCCTTTTCATTTCTTCTCCAATTCCCCTGCTGGTCACTCAGTTGCAACAGTACTACAAAACATATCCACATGGTCAGAATCTCATAGCAACTGTGAACAAAGACTCATCTCTGACTAACAAGTTTCAGTTCAAACATGACATTTTGTATTATCAAAACAAAGTGTTCATACCTCCAGTACAGGACCTCAGCAGGATGTTCTTACTGAATTTCATTCTTCTCTTAGTTGCAGGACACACAGGACTTCAACCAACTCTAGCTCGTCTCTCACCTTCCTTCCTCTGGCCTGGTATCTACAAGATGTGAAACATTTTATCAAACATTATACTGTGTGTCAACAAAGTAAATGACAAAGAAAAAACAAGGCTTACTACAATCTTTAGAGATTCCAACCCTTGTCTGGGATGAACTTTCAATGGATTTCATTACTTATTTACCATCTTCCTATGGCCATAGGGTAATATGGGTGATTTGTGACCGGTTGACGAGGTTTGTGCATTTCTTGGCGCTACCAACAAAGTAAATATATGACAAAGAAAAAACAAGGCTTACTACAACCTTTAGAGATTCCAACCCTTGTCTGGGATGAACTTTCAATGGATTTCATTACTTATTTACCAACTTCCTATGGCCATAGGGTAATATGGGTGATTTGTGACCGGTTGACGAAGTTTGTGCATTTCTTGGCGCTACCAACCAAGTTTTCTGCCTGAGACCTTGCTAAATGCTTTTCGGTGGAAGTTTGTCGTTTACTTCACATCCCCAAGTCCATTGTTTCTGATCGAGACCTCTTATTTTTTAGCAACTTCGGGAAAGATAAGTTTCGTGTGCGGGGTACCACTCTAAAGTTCAGCATACCACCCTAAAGCAGACGGCCAAACAGAAGTGGTTAATAGCAGTTTAGAAGCTTATCTCATATGTTTTACTAGTGACAACCCAAAACAGCGGTTTAAGTACTCACAACTTGCGGAGTATTGGCACAACACTGCACACCATCCGTCCATCAAAATGTCTCCATTTGAAGCCTTGTATGGACGACAACCTTCGTCATTTCCGCAGTATCTTCATGGGCTAACCACTATTCTGGATCTGGACAACACATTGCAACAGAGATAACAGATTCTGAGTACTTTGAAACATAACTTGGAAGAAAGTAGAAAAAAATGACAACTCAAAGTAACAAGAAACGAATTGACTATACCTTTGAGGTTGGAGATCTAATGTTACTTCCACTTCAACCATACGGGCAAGTGACAGTGAACCGACGCGTGTCTCAGAAGCTCTCACAGTATTTTGGACCCTTCAAGGTGCGCCGCCGGATCGGAGCCATCTCCTACGACTTGGAGCTACCACCGGAATCCAAGATCCATTCAGTTATTCACGTTTCTAAACTGAAGGCTTTTCATGGTGACCACGACTCTACTCAGATTCTACCTTCTACTACCGATCTTGCAGCTTTAAGGGATTTAGAACACCATTCCTCTGATTCGGAGGACATTGAAGCAATAGATGAAGGCAGTTTTGAAGACAAAGAGGGAGAGAAGAAGACGTTTGTGGGAAAGGAACGGAGTGAAAGTGAAGTGATAAATGAGTTCCAAGATTTACATGTTCCCTCAAGTACTGATCATGTTGGGAAAAGTTAATACAATACACAATCCCAACTTTATATCTTCAGCTTCATCAGGCCCGTCTAGTTAATTGGATTCTCTGATCATTCAATCCCCACCGCCCAAAAATATGATCGTTCCTCAATTAAATTCACGTGATCTTCAAGCTTTTCCTGCCACGAATTCCAAGATTTCTAATAAGCTGTCACGAGTTAATATGCCTCTGCCTACAGTTGGCACGCATGCATCAATGGACAAGGGGCCACTTGCAAATTCACGTGATATATTAGTTCCTGGGCTTCCCAATTGGGCCTCTACCTTCCAGCCCAACAAATCTTTTATTAAACCCAACCTTGAGGAGAAGGGTGATTTTGGGTCCGATAGTAGTAATAGCAAGCCCAACTGAATCAGAAACAGGTCCAAGTATTTGCAAGATTATGTTTCAAATTAAAATGATTTACTACTATGTTTATGTTTTTATTATTCCTTCAAAATGGGCCTGGCCCATTAGTCTTAATACCCTTTAGGATTGTGTTTGTATTTAAGGAACGCTTTATCTAAAAGATGGAACAAGAAATTATTCATAAAATTTATCTTCTTTATCTTTCTGTCATGCGTTTGTTTATGGTGAAACCCTAGATCTAAGTTGCAGATCCCTTCATATTACTTACCCTCTCAAATACCCTAAACTTACCAAGTCACCGTAACTTCAAAGTTACTCAAGCCAAATGCAATTTTATACGGTCAATTACGTGAAAAACTCATCACAAAAAGCTCAAACAAACATGATGTCAGTCCCATCTCACTATCACACAATTCTTACCACTATTTGTCTCAGTCTCCACCTCAACATAAATGAAAGACAAGGACTTTAGCATCTATGAGCATAAAATAACTGGGTATAAATTACATTAAAAGAAAATAGAGAAAATGGCAATGAATTGTCCTAAAGCTATATATACCCAACCAATATTCACTACTTGTAAAAAAAAAAAACCATGTTAATGATGAGACAGTGGATTTACACAAAACAGAAATTCCGGAAAGGTTTAATCGAATGAAAAAACTCGAAGTTGGAAGACATTCAATACTACACTAGATCTTGGCATGTGGAAATTTTCACAAATGGCCGTTAATTTTGGCTAACAAAATATTACAATAATTATTTTCACAACATTAAAAAAAAATATTACAATCAGATTAGCAACTGTATTTTCCATTCTGTGCACCAGTGATCTCACGGCATAAATAGGTGGGCATTCTAATTTACGTCATCTGACCTTGGCTACCTAGGGAGCCAATAGAATTGGCAAGAGAATATGAAGAGATTCAAAAAGGAAATCAGAAACATTGGTCCTGTACCATCTTTAACTGTGTGCCAAATGCGTTCGTCATTTAAAGATTAATCTCCTTGTAAATAGTAAAGCTGACGAATGTTCCCAGAGGCTGTCACAATAGAAAACAAATTCTTAGCATCATATCACAAAAGACGGAAAATAAAAAGGGTTGGTTGGTTAAGACTTTAAAGAGATCACAACTTATGTGAGACGTTAAACAATTTCATCCAAAAGGTGAATGCAATATCAATAAATAAATAAATAAATAGAAGAGATTACTCCATGATACCCCTGTTCAATTGTAATAACACATTGACAGATGTGTGATTGTTGAATGAAACTCAACATAGAATTAAGAGTTGATCTCTGTCGGAGGTTCCACAAAACATTTACTAGAGAAACAGGTACCATGATATACTGTAGGAGACCACATAACAGGTACCAGAGAAATTTCCACAACATTTGCAAGAGAAACGGAAAGTTTGGTCCAAAACAAGTCCGACTTTCAAGGACAGAAAAAATGCTAACATGCAAAAATAGAGTATTCCTTATAGATGTGAAAGAAGTTAGAAGTAAACGCAGTTAAGAACAAGAGGAAAAAAAAGTGCTACCATATAACCAGTCCCTGAAATACACATGAAGCGCTGATGACAGTTCTCGTTTACGACTTTCTTCTAAAGGTGCTTCTCGTAACAGTTGCCTTATTTCCCCTAAATTGTTTTCCTGCAAAGAAACAATTTCATTCAAAATAAAGCATAAATCCAAAATGTTTGGAAATCCAATTGCCAGTGTATTTATCAATTGAAACTGTAGCATACATTTCTTTGTTGAGATGCCATATATGCCTCGGGTAATGTGAACGGATTGTATTTCGTAGAGCCGATGGACTCTCCAAGCCAGTTAGGAATCTGCACAAAGATGTGGACAGAAGAAGAGAATGTGACAAATACAAAAGAAAGAAATATGGACCTCAACATTCTTCATGCCTATAGTGAATATACTGAAATCCATTAAATGTGCTATCTAAAAAAAGTCTTCACTTGCCCAATAAATCAGAATAAAAGAATGACATACATACCACAAAATTAGTGAACTGATCAGGATCCACCTTAGAAGCAGACTCAGCTTGAACATCAGAGACACCTGCTGGATGTGATAGTGAATCATGGGGATCAACCATGCCCAATGTTATAGGTTCATCCCAACGATTCACTGTGGGAAGAACTCCAACTTCATTCACATGTTCTTCCAACTGGGAGTAAAAAGTATTATAGGGAGCCACCTGTAAATTTTAAGAGGGGAAATTTTCTCCCGTGAATACATTTGAGAAGAGTAATGATTTACAACATATGGATAAATTATAAGAAGCTAGTACTATAAACAAAACACTAGAAGCCCAGATACATGTCGTGTGCCTACAAGTACAATCCACATACAAGATCAGAGTACACCAACATACAACAACAACAACAACCAAGTCTTATCCCACTAAGTGGGATCAGCTACATGTGTCAAACGACACCATAATGTTCTATCAAATATCATACTTCTGTCCAGCTCATTAATCTCAAAATCTTTCTTAATAGTTTCTCTTATGATTTTCTAGGTTTTCCTCTACCTATAGCGGTTTGACTAACCTCCATTTGATCTTCTCTCCTTACTACAAAATCCACATGTCGTTTCTCTCTGTGTCTAAACCACCAAAGTCTAGTTTCCATCATCTATTCTATTTAGGTGTTACCCCAACTCTCTCAAATATTGTTATTTCATTTCTAACTGTATTTTGCCTAGTCTTACCACACATCCAATGCAACACCCTCATTTCTTTTATGTTTCATTTATTTTCATATTGGTTCTTTACATCCCAGCACCCTAACACCCTATCGCATACAACACTGTTGGTCTTACAGCTATCCTGTGTAATTTTCCCATATCGCATAAAACAGCTGAGCTTCTCTTCCATTTCAACCATCCAGCTAGAATTTGATGGTTTACATCTCCTTCTATTTCTGTATCGTTTTTATTGACCCAAGATATTTAAACTCCTTAACTTTGTACTATGGACACCAACTTGCAATTCAATTATTTATTTCCTGTGTCTGTCATGCGATATGATTGTACTAGTGATTTTATAAAATACTTGTCCAATATTTTTTACAATAACTAAGAAATTAGTAATAAGTAACGGCAGATGACATCCAAATGATTAAGATATTACGGCATTGTAAGCATTGAAATTGTGACATCTGACACATACTCGGCATAATGTCAGCAGCGACCCAAAAAAGGTTAAATTTCTGAAAACAGTTAAAACACTAAATTATAATCTCTATAACTAAGAAAGTAACAGTATTAAATACTTTTGCAGTGCTGAGTTACATTAAATAGGCCATACATCGCAAATAATCATGGGATATTTTAATTATGGTCACCATATGAGCCCTAACATAATTCAGAAATTCCACGGTTACAATTTCATAACAACTGGCTAGAAACTTCATACATATATCAAGCAGCGGTAAATAAAGAAGCTCACCTGCAACTTATGGTTATCACCGACAATAAGAGGTTGCTGGTTCACTCCCAAAAAGAAAACACATTCACGGCAGTTAGCAATACATATTCGTTTTGCTGCAACAATCACATGAACTCGTTCACAGTGCTCTACTCTCACAGCCTGTCAAAGAAAAAGTGGAGTCAACTTCTTTCGTTCCATATAAGCACCAGCTATTCTAACAGCTGTGTGGTAGGCATAAGATCAGTAAAATGGCTCCTAGTTACCAAACCTTATCCAACATAGCGAACACCATATATGCATTACATACAATGGTCTTGAATATGATGGGTAAGTAATACCATATCTTTTGAAATAGAATGTTAAGTAATTTCATATCATTTATAAACTGTCTGCACATGAGCTTATAGACATCAACCAGATATTGGCAGAGTCAGTCAGTCTGAGTGACATTCTACAGATTCACATAAAGGGAAAACATTGTACAGATTCACATAAAGGGAAAACATTGTACAGATTCACATTAAGGGAAAACATTGTACAGATTCACATTAAGGGAAAACATTGTACAGATTCACATTAAGGGAAAACATTGTACAGATTCACATAAAGGGAAAACATTGTACAGATTCACAGAAAGGGAAAATACTGTGCAGATTCAAGAAAAGGGAAATACAGCAAGGGGAAAAAAAATCACAGCAGGATCTTTCCTACTTCCTCTCACCCCGAAAGTGAAACCGACCTTCTCTCTTTCACTTGAAGCCCACTGAACAGTTATCATATCTAATCCAACCACTTGTTAAGAACCAAGGAATTGAATTAAAATAGGGAGAATCTGTTAGAGAGGCTGTACATAACATTAAAACTGTCTTCGGTCAGTTTTGTAGCAGTTATGGTTTATGTTGTTAGTGGTAGTTAATATATTACAAGTAGTAAGAGCATGATTATCGGTGTTCTTTGAGAGTTCCTACACATTTATTAAAGAAATTGTGTCAATAATAAATGGATATTTCACTTGTTTTCACGTTCCTGAACTAAAGCACGTCCTCATACTAAAGCACGCTTCTACACTCCAATTAAGTGGGTCATGATAATAAATTAATAAATAAAATTGCAAGAATATAGTTGATTTGTTTTAAATGTGGGACCCATTTTAGATTTTTTGATGAGTTACATGGATATTTGAGAATTGTAGATGGGTTGTTTAAAAAATTGAGAAGTGTGAAATAATATAAAAAATTATGTGGGTCTCATTTAAAGAACCCAAATGGGTATGATGGATGTGGATGCTCTAATGTTAATTAATTGTGTCAGTTATGATTTACTATTGTGTTTATGTTCAGTATAAATAAAAAAAGGCCAGAGAGAATGGGATTATTGGGAAGTTATTGAGTGGTTACGGGGAGAGATCCAAGACTCTCAAATTGTTGGCAGGAACCACACTGGTCCTTGTCTTCTGTTTGTGTGTAATTTATGCTTGGTTGACGATAGCACACTATAGTGGCATAGCGTAGCGGAACCGGACCTCACCGCAACACTTTTGGGCTGCTAAGCACTATCCGTGATAGCGGGAATAGCGGCCGCTATTTGTAGCATCATGGTGGCGCTTTTGCAGGGCAATTGCAGTTCTGTAGCTGTTTGCAAACTGCTATTGTGAAGATGAGTGCAATTGGTATTTTGACATTTTTATTTGATCTAATATAAAAGCACAAGTGTTTGCTTTAGGTCATTTCATGTGTTTTTTTTTCAGTTTCCCTCTCCACTCATTTGTGTAATTTATGCTTGGTTGTCGATAGCACGCTACAGCGGCGTAGCGGAACCGGACCTCACCGCAACGCTTTTGGGCTGCTAAGCGGGAATAGCGGCCGCTACTTGTGGCGTCATGGTAGCGATTTTGCAGCACAATTGCGGTTCTGTAGCGGTTTGCAAACTGATATTGTGAAGATGAGGGTAAATTTGTAAATTCGGATTTTTTAAGGTTAAATTGGTATTTTGACCCTTTTATTTGATCTAATAAAAAGCACGAGTGTTTACTTTAGGTCATTTCATGTGTGTTTTTTTTTCAGTTTCCCTCTCCACTCACGCGTTTGCATTTCAGAAAGCCAACTTCGCACAACTTCTTTGTCATTCTTCTTTGCAAATCACCAATTCATCCATCGTTATTCCAAAATCATCACTGTTCTTCACCTATTCATCTATTTCTTCACCTTTCTCATCCTTTCACAGCTGATTTCTCCTTTGTTTTGCCTTATGCCTTCTCTGTTTTGCTTTATTTCTCTTTTATTAGCAACCATGTCATCATTTTCTGCAAGTGTGACACAAACTACCAACAGAGAGAGTTACTGGACATCGCTCTAGACTTGCTACATTAATTTCTAATGGAGATGAGGAGTTGGAGGTGGAAGAAGAAGAGTTTTAATCAACAAGTGATGAGCAAGATGATATTAATGAGCTGGAACTTAGAAGTGAAGATGAGGCAACCGCGGATGTGATTTAGTCATTTTGTTTGCATTGTTTACGTTTAGAATTTGGTTTAGTCACTTTGAGTACATTTATAATTTGATTTTGATGGGAACTTATATTGATGGAGTTGTTGAATTTATGTATGTTGTTGCAACTTCTGTTTTTAAGGCATTATGTATGTTGTTAGAACTTATTTTAAGTATTTATGTATTCATGGTAAGTATTTACTTTGATTTTTAAAGCTCACAATAGCGGTCATCCCGCTATGCTACTATAACATATTAGGGGTCCGGCGCTACATGTCGCTATCCAAGATTAAGAACCTAGAATTTGGGTCAGTTTTCTATAAGTTGTAATTTTGAATTATAGCCATGTTCCAGAGTAGTTGTTGAATTAATATACAGAAAAATTGTCCCACAATTTCCCTGGTTTGGACCAGCTCTATCAGAATCAAAACAATACCAGTGTATTATCAACATTGAACAAGACAAAGGAATGTAATTTCCCCAAGAGTTTCCTCCTCACTCGCAATATCAAACATACAGAATGCCTCTCTCCGTTAATACTTATTCTGCTTATACAAATTATTCCCCCTAATTCCCAACAGTTCCTATGTTCTAACAGCATCATCTTTTCATGTATATTATCTTACCCTTAAAAATGAAAATTGCATTTTATTTTATTCACACTGATAGGAAGACAAATTCCATAATGTTGTCTGTATATGTATAGACTCACTATGTTGCTTATGAAAACAAGACACAAAGTTACTACTAGTTGTTACCTTTCCAACTGCTCCAATAACTACTGTCGTATCTGAACATCCATAGATGGTGGCGTATCTCAAAGGTGCTAAGATGTAAATGGCAGATTCATGGCAATTTAGAACCTGCAGTGACCAAATACCTTTTTATTAGCAAATCTATATCAACAATAAATCCAAGAAGATACTATGCAAATTGAGAGACAAACAAGAACATTTGTGCTGAGGTACTCAACAAAACTTCAAATATTATCTAGCTTGTCACATCTCTTTTCAAGGAACTTAAGTTGTTAGTAGGGATGCTCATTAACTATTTTATCATGAATAAACAAACTACCACAAAACAAATTGATGGATTATAGAGACCTATCTTGTGAAGATTCGTAGTTATGCTATAGTGGAGTGGAATGGCCCATGACATGATGCTAAACACTGGCTGTCAGCAATTTGCAGTGGCTGCGGAAAGTCACTGAGAAACAGCCATTAGGCCGTTAATAGTTAGGGTCTTTTTTACCCTTTGATACACCTAATTTCAAAAAATTTAAGGGATGTTTTGTCAATTCCCAATTTAAGAGTAAGTTGCTCAACATCTCTTCCCACTCAGTCCTGAAAAAAATAGACACACACAAGAGACACTTTGTTTTGCTCTGCATTTCTCGGACTGTGAAGTCCAAAATTAGCAGTGACTTTTGCTTTTGGCAGTGCAGAGGCCTTTTCAAGCGTCAGAGGCTGTGTTTGCATCGGTGACTGTCACATTCAGGTTCCATACCCTTTCTCTCCTTTGTTTCTAGGTTATCAACCCTGTTTTTCAACATTTGTGAATCTACAAAGTGCGGAGACTAATCAGCACCCTACATAATAGACACTTTTTTTTAATCACCTCTTATTTTTTAATACTTTTTGAACCTGTTTATACAAGTTTAAATTGTAGTTAAGTTATATTGATTTTTATTTCTAATGTTAGTGACAAACTATAGAGGTTAATTGTAATTATAAGTATGACTACCCCTTCAATTGTGTATTTTTCTACTTCTGAGTATCTATATATGAATATTATTGAGAAATTGTTTAGTCTATTATGGTCTTCACAATAGCGTCCATCCTGCAATACTCATACCACATTGGCAAGTTTGGGGTCACGTGCTCCGTGCAGCTATCTAAGATTAACAATATAGATATAGGCATTCTGCCCTAATTCACCCTTTCAACCTTTAATTGTATAACATCTCTCTTCAAAGCTTTCAGCCGAACAGGGATATATTTGATCTAAAATCTGCTTCAAATAACTAAGTCTAAAAGGATGTTGAGATTTTCCTTTAAAGGGCAACTTGATGCTATAAAACACTCATCTTGGCAAGGTCTAAGTCAGGGTCAAACCCATTGTGGGTCTATTGTAGGTGTAGGTTTCTTCTGCAGAAACCATGAACCAACCAGAACACAGTGCAAAAGTCTTTAATGCATAATGACAACTAGATCTGAGCAGGATACAACAACAACAACCAAATCTTATTCCACTGAGTGGGGTCAGCTATATGGATCAAATTCCGCCATAATGTTCTATCCAAGACCATGTTTTTGCACAGGATACCGCAGAAATTTATGTTCCATACTGACCGGTCATACATTGAGCAGTCTGAATAATATTGGCATCATGGACCTAAATCAACATATACATAAGTTGTTCGGAAATAAAGCATGCAAACTCTACCAGATCCAAATTCCAAACTTCAAAAGTCTCAAAAGAAAACTGCATGTGAACAATATCCAAAAGCAAGCATCCAAATTTAATAGCTACTCATTTACAATTACAAGCAGATGCCTACATGTAATATAACAACATCTATTAGTGGCCTTGAAAAATAATATCAAGGGTAAAGAGCCCACTTCGTATCAGTTGCTTCCGCCATATATTGATGATGTAAAATTTAAACAATAATATACTAGAAAAACAGACAAATATACCTTAACGGAGGAACCTTTGATGTCAGATGCATGTTTTGCATATGATGATTTAGAAATCCCTTCAATGAAACTTGCGCCCCTAGCACTTGTAGATACCTTAACTGAGGCAGTAGATGCATCAGTCATAGCAACATCCTGATCAGAGGCACTAACTGGACCATTTTCTTTTGAAGAAGTCCGTTCAGCAATGCGTTCCAAAGCAGAAGCTATGTTCTGCAGAAGCCAATCATGAACTTGGGAAGCGGGAGCAGGAACGGCAGGCATGTTAGGATCCGAATTTGCAAAAAAAGGAGAAGATTGACTCAATGAATTTCCTTCAAGTCCTTTATCACCATATTGAAATAGAAAACCAAGGTGCTCAAATCTATCCATGGTTAAAACCTAACAAATAAGCAAATTAATAGTAAGACTAAGAACTAAAACAAAAACATATAAATATTTGAAGACTGAAATAATAAACATATTGCTGAAACAATATTCATGAAAAAACTGCACAAAACCTTTCTAAAAGTTCCAAATAATTTCCTTTCTCTGATAAACTACATGATGTTAGACTAGGGAGCTGGATTCACTAACTAAGAGAGGAGAAAAGTCATAACTCCGGAATTCAAAGATGAAATCATACAGGAATGGGACACAAAACGATAGCCTAGTCTATAGTTTATAGCAACTGATGCCTACATAGTTTAATGTATGCACAAAGCATCAAGTTTGGACATATTAACTTGCAATGAACACAAAATAGGGAAATATGCTTAATCCAATTCATAAAAAACAATAAAATCTTAGTGAGGTCATTGCACAAGAGCTAAAGTTTTAGAAAAAACAGTTGAACTTGTACCCAAAAAAAAAAAAAGCACGACAATGATAAACAAACAAATTTGCATGACATTCAAATTTCAATATCTCTTCCTGGCATGCATGGAATATCACCAAAACAGAATAAAGTAATACAATTTTTATTTACTTATTACTAATTGATTAGTAATGATAATATGAAAAAACATAAAGTAATGCAACCAAAATTAGCAACTCAAGGGAAGCACGCAGTAAACAAAAAACAAACCAGAGATTCTTCACTTTCCCCCTCCACAGGCTCTGCTAGTAGAGACACAATGTTAGCCAAATGCTTTTGCAGATAAGACAGCTGATGCGCTTCTTCATCCCCCTGCGACGGCATAAACCGCTTACTGTTGCTCCGGACAAGCTGTAATTACAAACAATTCGAAACCAACATCAACACTTTCAGAAAATCAAATCAACAAAAATCACTCCAACCAAATCGCGGGCATCTCAATACAATTACAAGAATTAAGCAATGCATTATGCGATAATAACAGATGAAAAGTGTTGAGAGGATCGAAGAAACAAAACGGTGAATTCACCTGAAGCGGCGTGAGAGCGGACAAGTATCCATCAAAAGCGGAAGTGGAAGGCCAAACATCCGCAACAGCGGCGGAATCCTTATGCGTCCGCGGGAGGAGCCTCTTGTAGGATTGAATGTATAGAAACAAAACGAGATCATGAACATCGACGCTATCAGATTCGGATTCAGCAGGGAGAACCGAAACGAGAGTCTCAACAACAAGCCTAGCTTGTTCGACGGAGATCTGCAACGACTCAGAAATCGCGGCCGAGTCAACTCGGTTATTGTTAGAGGATAATTCTAGAAGCTTCTGTTTCAAGGAGATTAGGGTTTGTGCGGGGTCGGAGAAGATGAGGCGCGGGATAGGTAAAAGACCGTGTTCGAACGGCACGCGTCGTGGATGAATCACGGTGGCTGGTGTGGGGCCCAATGGAGGAGTGCGTGAATCGGTTGGTGATTCCGTCATGGCTAGAAAAGAGAACGAAACATGTGAAAATGAGAGAAGGAGAGTGTTGCAGATCTTTGGAATCGAAAAAACTAGTATTGGTGGGAGAAGAGAAAGAGAGAGGATGACGGGGTGTGTTCCGGTGGGGTTCACCGCATGGGGACTATGGTCACGTGGCGTCTTCTCATTCGTTGTTTTTGAATAGTTAATAGTTTTGTCTTAGTGGTGTTAGAGAGATTGATCATCTGATTTTAAATGCACTCGTATGTTAATGCTCTTTCTTACCTTGTCATTTAACATGTTTCTTTTGACCCTTTTACTTCATTCCAATTTTGCAAATTTCAAAACTAATTTTAAAGGTATAGAATTTATTTTTATTTATTAATTGCTCCCGACTAAAATTATTTTATTTTTATAATTGATTTTAATATTAATTATTATGCATTAGTGTAAATTTTTTACACAGTATCACAGTTATTCATAAATGTTATTTTCTAAATAATTAAAATAAAAACTAAATATTATTAAAATTCTAACAATCATGATTAACTAATAATGTAAAACTTTTTTATACTTTTAGTATATATCAATTAAATTCTTAATTTTAATTTTTAGTTAGAAATTATATTTTTATATTTAAATTTATATTTATATTTATTATTAGTTCACTTTTTTTATAAATATTTTTAAATATAAATTATTTACTCTCGATTCATATTTAACTGAAATTTTTGTTTTATAGGAATTTATTATAATTTAAATATTGTTTCTTAAAAAAATTCAAATTGCTTTATATTAGTCAAATATCTAATAAGATTGGTCTAACTCAAAAGCTCAAACTGAATATCATGTCTACTAGTACTAGCGAACATGTGTATTTTTACTAGAGAATTTCGCACTGAGATGAAAGAGAGAATAATTTTAAGAAAAAATTCCACCTTATAAGAAAAGATAGAAGCAATGTTTCATCTAAAGCAATTCTCATTATTAAGAATATTAAATTTTCTAATGGTGTTATAGCACGTATACCTAAGTGACCTCTTAATAACCCTTAAAGATTCACTAGTTTGGTACCTAAATTATCTGTTTGATTTCCTATATAATGGTTTTGCCTCCGCAAAAAGAATGTATTTTGGCAAAACATATTTTTGAGACGTGCAGCCACTAAAACTCCATCATGGTTCCACTTTCCTAAAGAACATAAGTGTAGCGGTAGAAATGTTCAAGACTAAGTCATTGAATTGACTAGACTTTATACAAATCAAAATAAAAATCACCACCGCGCTTTATTATTTCCAAAGGAATTGGAAAAGAGCGAATAACCCAAAAAGAGGGGAAAAGATTCAAGATAAGGGGGTTGGTTATGCAAAGGAAAGGTATTAGCACCCTAAACATCTACGGTACTCCGCAGGAGCCTCTTTGTAAAATCTATATATTTTGACTATAAAAAATGTTGTATATGAAAAAAATGGATGGTGGAGGTGAGGAAAGAAATATATTTATTTTTGTAATTTTTGCACCCACCGCGGTTGCGAATCTTTAGTGCCTACGTACCACCTTTTCGTGCAAAAAGGAAAAGAAGATTTTTGAAATTAAAGAAGATGGGATGAGAAGAAGGGATTATCCTAAAGCATAAGGTAAAATCTAGGGATAAGAACCATCTAACCAACAAGAAACCAATACTTGACATTATGAGCCAAGATAGAATTCTCATTCTTTGGATTGAAACCAATCAAGCAAGGAAATACTAGACCTCTTGAGAGAACCAAACTTCAAGTGTATTAAGTCTTCATAAAAATTGGGTAGAGTAACGGTTGTATGCGGGTGAATTCCAAATTACAAACAAATGGGTGTAATCACAAAAACCTGCACACAAAAACAAACAAGCAACCCAATGTCTTGGGGTAGACCTCAAACTCTAGACAAAATAATCAGATTAGATCACAAGGTCTCCAAGATAGGTAAAGGTTTCTAATCCTAAGTCCAAGAAAAAGTCACATGCTCTATAATGCCAAGGATAGTAACCAAATAGTTCAAGTACCATTAAAGATTTTTTTAGGGTTTATGTTGATTATTAAGTATCTTAAGAAAGGAAAAGAAAAGCTTAAGTGAGCAAAGTAAAAATGGCAAGAAAGTAAATGCTCAAATGAGCAAAGATGAAAATGGCATGAAATGTAAATGCTAAAAGTAAATAGTACATAAAGCAATAAAAAAGAATAAAAGCATAAGGTAAAACGAGTCAATAATTAGTGGTTAGTTGGATGACCATCTTGAAGCTTGCATTTGGAACTCATTAGAGGATTGGTAGAACCAAAGCCTCCAAACAACAAGTTGCATTTTCTTTTTGTCAAGTATATCATCCATTTGGGATTCTCATAAGTATTATTTAATTATCAACGATGTTTAAGTGATCCGCGTTGACCAAAGATGTTGTAGATCCATTAAAGGATTGGTAGAACCAAAGCCTCCACACAATGAATCTCAAGGTTATTGGATCAAAGAGATCAAATTAACATACTTGGGCTTGCAATCATAAGTTTAGGCCACAAATGATCATTTATTTGAATCGGGACAAAATTTAGCGCTATGTTAAGCAATCGTAAATGGACTTATATAGAAGTCGCACCTATTTTGAGGCCGGTCAATAGCAATCTATGCACCATTTGTTTTGAGACATGATATAGAAATCATGCTCCAATAACATTTAGTGCAATAAGAAAGGGATGAGATGAAGAGGGATGGGGAAAAAATGTACAAACCACATTTGAATTAAATTTTAATCAAACTATTATTAAAATCATTCATCCATTTTTGTGGAGTTAAACTCAACACTATAGATCCAATGATGTTAATAAAGTTCATGATCCAAAATCTAACCCAAGATCAGCCAGAAAATAATCACAAAATAATATCACATTTAATATACACAAAAAACGATTTTAAAAATGTTTTAAAAATAGAAAATAATGAGAAAAATATCAACTATGTTCAAATTAATCAAGAAATGAAAAGTAAGACCATAGAAAAATCAGAAAAAGGCCCAAGTAATTTTACAAATTTTTTGGTAATTTTTTAAAGTCAGAAACTATTTTTAAAATTAAAATAAATGAGTAAAATAAACAAAAAATGGTAAAAAAATAGTAAAGTCAGAAACAAAAATAAAATAAGGTCACCAATATTTCTCACAATATCATTGGATCATTCCATAATTTTTTTAGAATTTAAAAATGTATAAAAGTATTTTTAAACATTTAAAACAAATCAAATAAGTGTAAAATTTATAAAAAACACCAAAACACAAAATTAAATTGTGAAAAAATAAAAATCAGAAAGAGAATAATTAAAAATATTTTTCATAATATTTTTAGATTTTTTGGACTAAAAATGAATTTTCTATGATTTTTTTGAAATTTAAAACAATTAAAATATAAAAATCAGAAAAAGAAAATAAAAGTAAAATATGTGGACCATTGGATGAGAGTCAAAACGCGTTAGTAATCAAATCCAAGGGATCTGGCGCGATGTGCATATCATGGTCATTAGTGAATATTGTACAGAATCATTAATTAAATCAGAATTTGAAAAAATACAGATGGCGCGCCTTCATTGGTTAGATGATGACACGTTGGTCATCTTCAACCTCCAACTATCACGAATTGCAGGTCTCTCAAATTGTAAAATCAGAAACTCAGACATATGTCATTCGCTTCGTCTCTTCAAGACGAAGACAACCACACCCGCGCGCCAATTTTATATAAATTGTAGCTCAAGCAATTTGGAAGGAAAGTTTTGAAAAGGGATTTGAAATTTCATGGTTAAAACGTGTTTCCAGTGAAAGGTAAGTGTTGTGACTAGAACCAGGACAATGAGAGCGACACAATGATATCAGAGTTTTAAAGAATTGATGAAGGAATCTACCTATTGAAGTTGAGTTGCAGAGCTCTGAAACTGGACTTCTATGGAGCAGTATAGGGCACGATTATTAAATGTAATTATATGGTTAGCTTTAGGGAAGATCAAGGAAGGTGAATTGATGGAAAATTGGATTGAAAAAGGGTCGAGGATAGATTTTGAAGTTGTTGAATTCTGAGTTGTGAAACAAGTTTGACAGGGTGATTCTGGCTATCCAAGCTTGGGAAATTAAATGGGATAGTTCATGTATTTATAGGAGAAGTTAATGGGATCAAAAGGAAGAGTGAATGATGCCTTTTGGAGGGAGATCGTGCACACCTGATGCACGAGTGAAGTGTGATATAAACTTCATCAAAACTCATCCAATTCTTGCGTTTTGATGCGCTAAACAAATCAGGAACTTCACTAAACATGTTTAGAGGCAAAAACGCGTGGAAAAATTGTGATTAGAGGCCACATTATGGATTTCAAAATTTAGACTTGGTGATAAATTCAATTTCAAAGTGCCAACTTCTGACCAATGGCATTTTCAACTCAAGGGGTCTTAGGGTATGATTCTTGATGCTTTAGAAAGATGAGGTTACAAGTTTTGCAATGGAAAAAGAATAGAGTTAAATGGATGCTTGAGATGAAAGTTATATTGATTCAAAGTTGAAGAAAAAGGATTGACTTCCCATACTTAGAAATATTTCAAATTCTTCTTCAAAAATGACCTATAATGTCTTGCATCCAAACATGGCCTTCCACTTGGAATTTGCTCTTGACCAAAAAATATTGCATGAAGTAGACCTCTTGAATGACACTTTGAAACTTGAATCATTCAAAATCTCTAAAATTTGAGCAAGTTATGACTTGTTGAAGTTGGCAAAAAATCATGAAATGACCTATAATCTTTTGCATCTTTAAGGCAACTTCCATCTATTTTCCCACTTTGCACATAAAAGAAGGCATAAATTTCACATCTTCAAAATCATTATGGAAAAATAATGGACTCAAGGTGATAAAATTTGACCAAGTTATGACCATTTGAAGTCACTCATGTAAAATTGTGGATTCATCTGGATGACTTGTAATCTTTCTTCTTCACCAAGTTCCTTCCATAAGAAAAC